CCTCTCCCACTCCCCCTGCTTGTGTTCCCTCTCTCGCTGTGTCTCTCTCTGTCAAATAAATAAATAAAATCTTTTTTAAAAATAAATAAACCTCTGAAGACCCAACTCTGGACACACAGTTTTCCCAATAAACTCAAGGGAGAAGTTCTAGCGCCGGAGCTCAACTGTTTTAGAGAGAGAGGGAATGTGGGTGCAGCAGAGCCACACACACCCACACACTGGCAGGCAGGGGTCAGGGGGAGACCACAACAAAAGGTGAGGAGCAACTTGCTTTGGAATCTGATTCAAGTAAGTTCTCACTGTATTATATTACTCTTCCCTTCCATCCACTTTACCTGGACTCAGTTCTGGAACTTTCCTGATGTATGGTGACAAGCAAATAACTGACCCTAATTTCTTATAGTACTTACACACAGTACTAGGTTTTAGGTCCTCCAGCTTTATTTTCTTGTTTTGGAATTCTCTCAGACTAATCAATATTTGTGAGACACCACCCGAATGCCCTGCATAACTTAAAAGAAGGTAAGGCTTAGCTTCAATTTGTATGCCATGAATTTTCAGGAACTGAGAAATTCACAGAATTTGGAAAAGGAAGATTACAACACACTTAGATCCTCTCTTCTTCTCATGTTTGGACTATTTGAATCAGGGTTAAAGAAACCCAACAAAACATTTATATGGCCCTTTGTTTACATCATCATAGTTTGTAGAAATCAAACTGACAGAGGTTAACAGAGGAAGGACTTCTAACATAGGAAGACTCCTGAAAAAAAATAACTTTATTAAAATAAATAATTTTTTTCCTAGAGAGAAAAAAAGCTTCCATAGCTTCCAAAAAAAAACTTTCCATAGCTTTTATAAGAAATAGTTCATAATGACAAAAGAAAAAAAAAGGGTTTAAAACCACCGCATCCAAATTTTACAGTAAACATCTACCTTCTCACAGACAAGTTCCTATATTGAAAGTGCCTGATATCTTTCATATTATAGAATTAATTACATAGATGAAAAAAAGAACTATACAGTTTAGATGAATTTATATTGACTACTGACCTTCTAAAGTCAAAAGGATAGAAGTATTTTCTTTAAAAAAAAAAAAAGTACACCTACCTTTTTTCCAAATCTCTGATTTTCTCTCTTAGTGGTTCAACGATCTAAAACAAAAATAACCAACATCAGTTTTGAAGCAAAGACAGTTCTCCACCGCTTCCCTCCTCTCTGATGTTCCACATGGGCACGACATCATGCAAAACAGATTGTAATTTCTTCTATTATCCACTTCCAGCTTGAAATTAAGTTATACTACTTGAATCACAAGTCAAGAATCGAGATAATACACTGCACGTTGGAACTCTTACTCCACAGACACTTAAGTCTCTGGGAAAATTAACCTTTTAATTTCCTTACAACAAGCAAGGTGGCTGAGGCTCACAAGAACAGGCAGATCACCACCACCCTCTTCTTTTCAGGAATGAAAAAATCCCCTCAACGCTGCCCACAAAGCTTAACCTCTTCTTTCTGCACATTATCTCCACATCATCTGCTCAGCACATGAAGGAAGGGCAGGCTGTGAGCAGACCCAAATTCCTGTGTGTTAACATTGGGAGCTGAGATAGAAGGACGAGAGCAATCCGAGAGCTTCTCCACAACTGTGACGTTTGGCTTCAGATCAAAATGATTGACTCCCCATCTCCTCCCGCAGCCCACGTTACACTCACGTACCTATATCTACCATTATTGGACAAAAAACATAAGCAATTATTTTTAAATAGAAGGTATATAATCAACCAGAGGCGCTAGCTTTCAGTGAGCAGGTGTGTGGCTTCCCCATCCGTACATGTGGGCGCTCCCCAAGTTCCCCGTCCTAGCATCTGAGTTGGGCGGTTTTCCTTACAGCATCTGCTGGGGTGAGTGGATGCTGGCACTTGCCTCCATCCCTGGTGAAAGTACTCACTTCCCTTTCTCTAAGAAATTCTGGGAAGGTCAGTTAAGAAGTCAGACAAACTCGTAAATCCATTTTGCCTCTGAGGTAGAATTTGTACATCATGCCTTTATCAAATGGCCAAACGCTGACACAGAGGTGTATCCACAGCATAACAGATGGAAAGACTCCTCTAAATAAGGGAGTAATTTTTGAAGAGATGTCTTCAAAATCACGGGTTAGCATCGGGCTCTCACAAGAAAGGTACCAGCACAAGCCAAAGAACCGAAATTGACAAACGTAACAACAAAATAGGAGCAAAATACAGGAAAGGAACTAACCTCTTCAATCTTGCTCTCGATTTTGAGTTCACCATTTTCCTGGATAGACCTGTTGAGTAGAAAGCTGCGAAACTGAGATCCATTGAGAGGCTTGATGACCTCAAGATTTATTTCTGAACAAATGACAACACAAACCAAAAGCTGCAGACCATCTCGCCGCTCCCCTTCCCAAACATCAGTCCCAGGTTCCAATTCCCTCCAGAAGGGGGTGCACCCAAGGAACAGAAGACAATGGAGGAGAGGAAATCTCAAATTCATCTCACCAGCTCACCTCTACTTTGTAAGCGTTATTTCTATTCCACTAAAATAATCTTTCACATTATACTCAACATGAGATTTTAAATTAGAGGCAGGAAGTGTGTCTATAGGAGTCCAAGTCTCTCTGCTGGGCTTTCCTGGGGATTTGATGCAAAATGGAGCTTTTCCAAGTAAAAAAACAGAGTTCCTTTAAATGGGATCTGAGCACCCCTCCTAGCCACACACACAAGTCTTTGTCAGGAGACACTCACACCCTGGTGGTAGGAATCAGATCAACACCGCCCCACTGGCCTTGCAAAACCTACTCAATCTGAAAAGCCTGGTGGCGGCACAGCAACCCTTTACCCTAGCAGCCCAGGGCAGGGGCATTTGACTGCCAAACCCACCGCCAGCGCCACAATTGTGATTGCTGCTCTTTTATTTTCACTATCAAGGCAGACAAAGTGGAACGAATTTTTCTTTAAGTGTAAAACTGTACTAACAGCGTCAAATTTGTTTTTACAATGAATGCTTGTTAATTTTTTTTTTTTAGAATATCAACACAGGATTTTACTCTCCTGAGTGTCCCTCCTATGTTTATCATAAAGCACAAATAATGCACACTCAGGCCAGAAGGCTCCTCGGGGCTGAATCCTGAGATAAGCAGGTAGCCTCAGAATCTACTGGTCTACTCCCAGGGCCAGGGGCCTGCATGGTTTCCTAAAGACAGCCCCCTTCTCAAAAGGCTTTGGAAAGGCACGCCCCCACTGTGTGCTTGTCCAAGCCACCCAGAAACACAATCACATTTTAGCAGGGCAAAAGCTAGGGTCAACCCCTTCCTGTGTACAAAAGGAGGGAAGGGACGTTGAGGCAGGCAATGCAGAGGAGCCAGCCAATAAAACTGGGTTTTACCTGAGCAAATAGTAAAATCAGATGTATTCATCAAGAATATCCATAAGAAAAAAGACAAAGCTCAGATGTGTGAATGGCAAAGAAAAAAACCTGTTTCATTTTTAAAATATTCAATTAACCCATGCCATCTACAGTCTATTTGTAATAACTGAAATGTGTCTGTAAAACCCGACCACAACATCCAAGTTATTAAAAACAGTTACCTCATATTAACGAAGTTGCCCCAAACAGCTGGAAGGGAAAGAAGAAAATTAGGTCAATATTTAACTTTGTGATATGCAAGGATTCCAACTAATACAATTTTAATGTTTAACCAATATTTTCAAGTACACTAAGAAATCTAAATTACAGTTCATGAAGACAACAAAACGCACACTTCTGAAGTATTAAGTCCTACTAAAAAATAAGTGAAAAGAGGATCCAATACTTCTCTTTAATTTTGGATTACCTCTTTTGGGGTCTGGAGTTCAACTGTGCTTGTGTTTTGATAAACAGTATGTCCCAACCTTTGTCTGAGGAAGAGCCAGTCACAAGCATCAAAGAACTGCATGTCTGAAAGAGATCCTAGGGCTCAGTCCAGCCTTTTCCTTTTAAATGTCTATGAAACCAAAACCCAGAGGGGTTAGATAATGGCCTGACACTGTGGCTTAACTTCACCTGGAAGCCCATCCTTTCTCACACTTGCCACATCTCTCTTGTAGTCTAGTTTCTCATCAGCTGGCCTGCTTCCTTGATTATAGACACCTGGAGGGCAGGTTATCATGTGTACACAGCTGGTGCTCAATAAATGTGAATAAACCAGCCCAGCCACCGCAGTGAAGTTTTGCCATGGATGACTTTAAAAACATCATACTAGACTATGAGCCACCATAGCCACAGCCACCAGTGAAGGCTTTGGAAAGGCACGCCCCCACCGTGTGCTTGTCCAAGCCACCCAGAAACACAATCACATTTTAGCAGGGCAAAAGCTAGGGTCAACCTAGGGTCAATACTAGACTATGAGCCACCATAGCCACCAGTGAAGTTACTGAACAGAGAATTATTTAATAAAGAAACCTTTCCCATGACTGAGTGTCTCTAATATTTGTACTCATTCCTCTTTGGCCCTCCTGTAATCATCCCCCAAATATGGAATACCTCCTAAGGGCCAGATGCTCTTAGGTGCTAGAGAAAGACAGAGAGCAAAGGCACACATCCTCCCCGCCCCCTCCCCCCCCCCCACACCCATCCTGGAGATGGCGATTCTGTGAGCTCAGGAAGGCCTTCAGGTTAGGATCTACTCCCAGGCATCTTCTTATTGTCATTGTCTGGTACATAGTAGGGGTTTAATAAATGTTTACTAAATAGGACTCAGTTTCCAAAATCACTTGTTGCTGATTCCATACAAGCACATTCCTCTCCAGAGTAGTAAGCAACTGATACAAAAGATAGCAATAACTAACTAAATAAATGTGGCAAATAAGCAAGAAATGGGAAAATTACTATAAATCCATACTATATTCCTTATTCATTAAAAAAAATAAAGAATGTTTATACCTTTGGACCATGTGAGCTTACTTTTGAGTATTATCCTAAGGATATACATATATATACAGGAAAGCCGCCTTCACAAATCATGGCCTTACTTATTAAAAAAAAGGGGGGGTGGGGGGAATAAACCCAAATGTCCTACGATTGGGGAATTGCTATATAAATTATGATACAGCCTTTCAATAAAATCGGAAAGCCATTAAATCTCACAATGACTATTATCAAACAGACAAGAAATAACAAGTGTTGGCAAGGACGTGGAGAACAGGGAACCGTCATGCACCGTTGGGGAATGTACACTGGGGCAGCCGCTATGTAAAACAGTAAGAGGTTCCTCAAAAATTAAAAACAGAAATACCATATGATCCAGCGTTCCATTTCTGGGTATTTATCTGAAGGAAAGAGAAACACTAACTTGAAAAGATATCTGCATCCCCATGTTCACCACAGCATTATTGACAACAGCCAAGACACAGAAACAATCCGAGTTTCCATCTGTGGATGAATGGATTATTTGGCCATAAAAAGAAGGAAATCCTGCCACTTGAGGTAACATGGATGGACCTCAAGGGCACTATGCTACGTGAGGTAAGTCAAACAGAGAAAGACAAATACTGTATGATCTCACTTATATGTGGAATGTCAAAAACTGAATGAAACAAAAACCCAAGTTCATAGATACAGAGAACGGATTAGTGGTTGCCAGAAGTGAGCAGGTGGGTGTGTAGGTGAAATGGGTGAAGGTGGTCAAAATAAGTCCTGGGGATGTAATGTACAGCATGGTGACTAGTTATTAATATTGTATTGCGTATTTGAAAGTTGCTAAGAGTAAATCTTAAAAGTTATCACACACACACACACACACAAATGTGTAACTATGTGTGGTGATGAATGGTAACTAGACTTACATAATATACACTGTATATATATAGTAGTATATATAGATAGATGTTAACTATTAACATATATAACATAAACTAATACATAATATTACATATGTTACTAATATAATACTATATATAATGTTACACGTCAATTATATCTTGGTTAAAAAATATGGTTATGAAAATACACTGCAACATGGTAATGCAGTTATGACAATTCCAGATGAGAAAATATATATGCAGTATGACTTCTGCTCATAAAAACCACCTAGAATAAGACTGTCTGAAGATGCCAAAATACTGTTTAAATGGTGACATGTTTATCTTTCCTTGTATCTATGTTCTTACCTTGTGTTTTAAAAAGGAGGGAAAAGATTTCCAAACCCTTGCTGAACACCATGCCCCCCACCCCTCAGAAGACCTGGGAACACAGGGGTCAGTGGTCAGCTCAGTGCTGGTGTTGTGGACGAACCTGCAGTTGCCAAACCCCATGGGCCCTGCTCTTCACTGTGTACCTCAAATAAACCAATCGTCTCATTTTGACTTTAGGATTCTGTTGCTTGTCAAAATATACCAGGAAGCTGTCCCTCTCTGGCTGTGGAACCTCAGGAGAATTATCCAGTCCTTAAGATGCCTTAGGGTGAGTAATACCTTTTGACAATCTTTTCAAATCATTCCATGGTTACTAGTTTATTCATTTTCTTTTTAGCCTTTTCTTGAATCAGTTTAAACGGTCTGTCTCAGAGATGTTTCTCAATCTTCTATGATCCCTTAGACCATCTGAGAGCATGTGAGGCTGCCCCCCTTCCTGGATGTCTTCGCCCTCCTTGAAGTACAGACACCAGGGCTCTGAGTGCTCTCTCCTTTCCTACTGGTCCTACGCAAGCATCCCTCCCCCTGTAAGCAGGTGAGGGCCCTGGGATCCACCCCGGAGAATAATGCCCATGGCCACATCTTTGCTACCCTTTATAAAGAGGTAATAATGGCCATACGTGGCTAACGCCCAAACCTATTCTTGTGGCTCAGACTTCTTCGATTGGCTCCCTGCACTTGGAAACTCATCCTGCTCTTCACACTTCACCCCTTCTCCCGCCCCCCGCCCCGAGAGCTTCATAACCTCATCTCCCCTCCTCACCAATCAGACCTCCACGTAGGCCGCCATTACCTCCTCCCCCCCGATTTGCAGCCTCCACCCTCCCTAAAGCAGCTCCATCTACATACAGTCAGAAGTGCACACACCTTACCTGCGCATGACATTCTTGAGAAAACCTCCCCAACCTCCCTGCCTGCTCCAGGGGACATCAGGAGCCCTCTGAGTTGTCACAGCACCAACGACACACTTCTTTTTAATTGGCAGTTTACAGGTGGGTCTCCCTGCAAGATGAGGGCTGATTCACATTTGCAACACCAAACACATTCAGGCCAGCCACCAAAATTAGATGAACAGAGGAGGTCGAGGAATGTTTTCACTTTACTACATTTATCCCCTGCTTAGTACTTTTTCTTTTCAGAAGTGTTATCACCAATTAATCTTTAAGATGTTTTTATGTCAAGTGTTTCTGGCCTCCTTCTATATTTTATTTTTTTAATTTTTTTAAATTTTTTATTGTTATGTTAGTCACCATACATTACATCATTAGTTTTTGATGTAGTGTTCCAT